GCCCTCAGCACCAGCCTCTGCGTGATTTATAGCAGCGCTGGCAGACGCTCCTGTCCACGGGGAAGTCTTTGAAAAATGCCGAGGGTGATTTGCATGAATGTAGGCCTGTACATTTACACCATACATAGGCCTCACTTTGTGTTTATGTGTGTGTGTGTGTGTGTGTGTGTGTGTGTGTGTGTGTGTGTGTGTGTGTGTGTGTGGTGTGGTGTGTGTGTGTGTGTGTGTGTGTGTGTGTGTGTGTGTGTGTGTGGGTGTGTGTGTGGGTGTGTGTGTGTGTGTGTGTGTGTGTGTGTGTGTGTGTGTGTGTGTGTGTGTGTGGTGTGTGTGTGTGTGTGTGTGTGTGGGTGTGTGGGTGGCTGTTGACTTGTGTACATGAACACTTTATAGGTTGTTGGTTGTTAACCTGTGGTTGGAGCATGTTCATGCATGGCCCATAGGATAGATGGGCAAGCCACTCTGATTAATTACCAGTGACACACATACATTACACTATATAGAAATACCAGCATCCTGAAGGCAATGTGATCAAAATAGTGGTGGTAGGTGACACTTTTTCAGGTCATTGGTTTAAAGCTTTGGTATAGGTAATATTGGTAAAACCAGCAACAGTAAGTGATGTTTTGTTGAATAATCTAACTGTAAAACCCAGTCTAATGTTGCTTAAGCTAGCAAGAAAGTTAGCATGTTGTTTACGGTAGAGGGAAACATTGGTGATTTTCATCGTATAATTTCAATGTGGGTGATGTGTGCAAATGAACAATGTTACCGGCTCAGGAAACTCCTCGCACACTGAGCGGTGGGTGTCTGAGTGAACGCGTCACTTCACATCATCGGGCAGGTGAGCGGGAGCTCCTGGCACTGGTTCAACGAAGGGAAGTTGAACAGCATTCATTTGCACACTACCCACAAAGCAAAAATATAAAGCCGGGTAAAAAGTAACTTTTCCCTTTGCAAACTTAGAAACCAGTTGATTCCTCAAAATTCCTGTATAATGTTTCACAGCGTAGAGCAGAAAAATATATAATATTTCCCTCTAAAATTAGGTGTCGTATGAGTATTAGTATAAATAGGAAACACTCGAACAAAGGACAGTAATTACTTTTTTAACCATTTGAAAAACATTGATTAATTTCCAGTCTGACAGAGCCAGAGATTTCAATGATAATCAATAACAAGCCATACAAAAACAATCCTCAAATTCCTGTGTGTGTTTGTCTGCATCTGTGTGTCTTTACAGGCCAATTATAACAGCGGCGCCCTCCTTATGACCTCTCCTGAGGCAGCCGAATCTCCTCTGGAGTGAAAGGTCAGTGAGAGGTCAAGAGAGGTCGCCAGCGAAAGGCCGTTCTAGTGTGGAGAGCTTTCTGGGTGCCATGCGAAACATCCACAGTGAGGGTCAAAGGTTACCCAGATACATAAACCAGACAAAAAGGTGCCAACAGGTACAAGATGTGTGAATGTCCACTGGTGTAACAGGAGAGCCGACTATTGCAGAGAGCTAAACTTATAACTGGAGACTAATGTGTGGTGAGAGAGGCACTTTAAAGCTACTTAAGCCTTGTACATGTCACTTCATAGCCTATAGACGCCTCTCTTTATAGTATTTGGGGAAGTGCAGAAAGGCTGAAGCACAGGTAACAGATCACTCACTAATTATCCTAAATTGCCTCAGACAGCTAAACTTGTGTGTGTGTGTGTGTGTGTGTGTGTGTGTGTGTGTGTGTGTGTGTGTGTGTGTGTGTGTGTGTGTGTGTGTGTGTGTGTGTATGTGTGTGTGTGTGTGTGTGTGTGTGTGTGGGTGTGTGTGTGTGTGTGTGTGTGTGTGTGTGTGTGTGTGTGTGTGTGTGTGTGTGGGTGTGTGTGGGTGTGTGTGTGCGCCATGCCTGGTTTACCCACCATATAGCCTATTCGTAGAAGCTATTAAAAACTAATTAACCTGCGTTTTATTTGAAGCCCCCCTGCCCCCGTCCATCATACCACTAATGTATTTTCCATGAGGCTTTTTTTTCCTTCTGATTTAATTTAGCTATACTCTTTGATTTTACGACTCGCCTCTGTTATTGTAGGATATCTTCTCCCTTCCTTGTAATTTTATTTTATGACATGGAGTGATTCGAGTACAATACGCCCCCCGGGGAGGACCACTTACCTCCACGCCAACAAATATAATTACTGCTGATCAGAGGAGCGAAAACAGACCGCCGCTTCCTTGCCACAGCCCGGGTCTTTTTTCAATTTTTTTTTTTCAAGTTGTCTCATTGCAGCATGATGGCTATGAAAATCTAAAAATGAAAATCCCAAAAACCTGCAGCCCGCATGTGCTGCCACGCTCCATTAACACATGTAAACATTGTTGATTATTTATTTATTGACAAGATATCCAAACATAGCCTAACAGAAAAACACTTTAGATACGTGAATCTTTGAAACCCATTCTTAAATTGGGCATGGGTTAAATACCAAAAAACACGCTTATTTCTAATTGAATTGTAATTTGTCTAATCGCTATCGCTATGTCAAAATGCCCTACACCGTGGGGCGGTAGCGAGCAGTGTGGGAAAAATGAAGTTCATGCACTGTCAAACTGATCCAATCCAACTTGGATGTATGCTGGATTGTCTATCGATGCAGCACACATTGTCTAAAATAATAAAAGTCAACGCCTATTTAAGAAAATATGCAACTTAAGAGGTATTTATTAAAATAGTAACATTATTGAACGAGTTTGGCGTGGATTTAACCTCGCCTTGACGCGCAGAATCAGCTGTGTCCGCGCGGCCTTGCAGAGAATAAAATAGGTTAAGTTACCGCCAGAAGTAAACAGCTAAAGTCCTTTCGTGTTTACCAAGTAAAGTCCTCTGCTCCATGTTGACAGGTGAGAGTTCACAGGAGCAAAGTCGGTCCCCTCCCAATGGAGCTGCGAGCCTGACTGTGTAACCCCCAAGAAATGGTGAGTGTGTGTGTCAGACAGAGGGAGAGATAAACAGGGAGAGTTGCTGAGGGGGCTCTTTGACTTTGAGCGCATAAGCCCTTATTTCATGGTGCCATTGTTTGTTTTAAGGACGTCAGGCTTAATACAGTTCCAGGCGATTTCCCAACATGTCTGTTCGCCCGAGCACCTCCAAGGCGCAAGTGTGTGTTTGTGCGCGTGCTCACATGTGTGCGCGAGCCCTTCATTCCTGTCGACTTTAGCCTCACCCCTGTCATAGGCAGTGATTTAAAAAATGTGTATAGGCTACTTTCAAGGTTGTTCGTAAGACATGTTAAATTAACTCAGACTTTGCAGAATTTACTGAGTCATTTCCTACTAAAGAAATGTTAAATATTTAGCTAATCATGGCCTAATCATGATGTTTAGTGTATATCTGTGGTTTTAATGAGTTTGACTGTAGCCATATTCCCATCAGCCTCACTGAGCAGCATTAATTTAATTGCCTATTATTTCCAAATAGGCCAGACGTGGAACTTTATTTAATGTTAGAGCAAACAGGTTCTTTATCACATGTTGAAAACAGGACAAAAAGTGTTGCAATACTGTATTTTATCACTCACGTGATGGCTGTGTGAGTCCACAGGGGAAATAGAGATGGGCCAGACAGACTGGCTTTGTGTATGCATAAACTATTGCATATTATTGTTATTGATTGTTAGATACATCGATGTTTGCTTTGTGTATGTTGTCATTTTTGACGGTCACATTGTCATACATTTACTTTAACAATATTCATTAACAATTTTTGCAAATAAAACACATTTGAATTTGAGAGTGTGTGAGCAGTATGTCTCATTGAATGGCTTATAAAACAGGTCACAGTGGATCACAAACCCCTCTCTCTCTCTCTCTCTCTCTCTCTCTCTCTCTCTCTCTCTCTCTCTCTCTCTCTCTATATCTCTCTCTCTCTCTCTCTCACACACACACACACACACACACACACACACACACACACACACACACACACACACACACACACACACACACACACCTCCATAATCACTATTTGTAGCAGAAAGAGGGATGTGGGTCATCGGGGGCCACACAGTGCCAGCTATCCCTATGGCTGCCAACAAATAATAACACTCATAACATAAATGTAAATGTATCTTATTTTACTAGAGAAGTCTCATTTATCACGTTCAGGTCATATAGACTCAGGTTCTAACTTGAAAAAAACAAGTGTATATTTTCCTCCAGTGTCCTCGTCTGTGATGGTGGAAGCTGAATACATTAAGTGCTGGACAGGACGCCCAACAAGGACTTTAGAGGCAGTAAGAGTCAGACGCCTACTCATTTATTACACTCGGACAAATCCTCCTCTCCTCTGTCCTGTCTCCTAAACCTTTTTATTCAGGGACCCGGAGACCTCTCCGGAACAAAACAGCTTTTAGCGCTGCCATCTCTCCCTGCTTCTGTTTTTGCAAATAGCTCTCTCTCTCTCTCTCTCTCTCTCTCTCTCTCTCTCTCTCTCTCTCTCTCTCTCTCTCTCTCTCTCTCTCTCTCTCTCTCTCTCTCTCTCTCTCTCTCTCTCTCTCTCTCATCTCTCTCTCTCTCTCTCGCTCTCTTATTCACGAAAGGGAGCTGATGTAGAAGCACATTAAGTCATTATGTGATTAAGGCCATATATATCCACTGCATTGCTTCTTATCCCAAATAGTATTCATTCTTTCAAAGAAAAGTAATCTAACTTAAATTCAGTTAACGTTATTTGATTATATTTGTTGTTATTGTTCTCTTTTAATTTGCGCCTAAAGAAGCTCTAATCGTTCTAATTATACTACTACTAATAATGAAAAGACAAATGACCCGTTGATCTAAATTAAACCCGAGGAAACATGGCCATTGCCCCTTTGCACTCCGGCATACCATCACCGCGTGCGCACTTATTAACCACTTAATTGTGGTCAGAATGTGATAAAACACCTCTGGGAGAAATATTGTTTTCCATGCCTCCCTCCTCCTGCATTTAGGCCCTATACTGTAATAAATATGTCAATAAATTCTGCCATCAGTGCTCGATGCCAGCGCGCGTTATCAGTCTTGGGCATCGAGGTGTGTCGCACTCGACCCAACAGAGGGGGGGGGGTGAGTTTGAAATAAATACACGGGTTGATCCACCTGGAATGGGCCGCGATAAGAGCAGCCAGTGTTAACCGACACGTTTCCTCTACACCTCATCCGAGTCTTCCTTTTCCAAACACGCGTTTCTTTAATGTCCCGGCCTGTTTTTCCAGCCTGTGTGCGCACCGACGGCACCCAGGGGAGCCGAGGCCAAATCAGCAACAGGCCAGTGAGAGAGCATGGGGCCGGGACACCTGCTTTGGAAAAGACACTCCAGACACTAAACTTTGCTGACTTCGTTGCATTTCGTTCGTCCTAAAAAACAGTTGCTTGCAACATGGAAAAGAGACTCGCCTTTTCCCGTTTGGCACCTGACAGAGGCACATATGGAAAATAAGATTTCTAGTTAAGTACTTTAGGATCCTGTTTGTGCAAGGGATACAAAAAGAAAATTCTGCCTGCAACAAATGAATCTAAAGTGAAACGCTAGGAAGAACAGGGGAAAGGAAAAAAAAGCACAATGATCTGATAAAAAAGGGGCATCAGCTACTTTTTTACTGGCTTCTACAAATTGATTCTACAATAATAATAACACAAACAATTAAAATACTATTTTTAGACGCTCATTAGGAAATAATTCAGAGGTAATTTCTGCATTTGCTTATATCGGATCATCCTTTCTCTTATGCAGAAACGCATTATGAAGCATATGGATGTGACCTATCCAGAAAAGAGTAAATGAAAAAAGTATTATGTAATGTAAGATAACAATTAATTTCAATGGCACAAATGTGTAAATAATATTACTAAACAATTTCTGTACACCTGTTGTAAAGATCGAGGGGTAGAATATTTGCAGTGAGCAAAATCTGCTGTGTAATAATAAATATCCAATTTGTAGGAATGCAGGAGGACGACAACGAGCAGCCGTCATCATTTCATAAATCAGAAGCGTCAAACAGGTTTTTCTGTGGAAAGGATCAGATGTCAGTGTCCGCTGAGTTCAGCCTTACAGGTGGGCAAGTTTAAAATAAATAAAAAAGTCGAATAATCCATAACAAATCTTAACATGGCGATGTTTTGTTTCAATTTACAGTTAGTTTGACTTAGTATGCATTTCTGACGAGGGTGCTGTCTTTACACATGGGGTTATTTCTGTGGCGGGCTGTGTGACAGACGTTTCAAGATGATGTTCGGCTCTTAACTGAGCGTTTCACAAAGAGACGTTTATCTCTCCTCAGATATTGGCTTCCCTGGATAATCTGAATTCCAAAGCAAAGCTCCGAGCTTCTGTGCCGCTTTGCTTGTTCATAAATCAGACCTTGCATCACCCAATGAGAAAAGTCTGAAAATATCTCTACATGCCACTTTGAACCCCCAATACCCAAGTGACCTATACTGTTATTCCCTTTGAGAAGCTGCAGTCTAAATGTGTACCAGTTGCAGAACAAAATGTACATAATGATATTTAAAATTTGAACTCGTTGCACATCGTTAAATTATAAAATATCACACTGCAAAGTTGGTAATGATTTAAAGTGAATTGGCTTGAAGGAATGTTTTATTAGAGTATCATACACATAATCCAAACATGCATAAACGCAAGTGTTGAAAAGTCGTTAAAAAACGATTGTAAATGTTGAGTTTTACTGGTTGGAAGATGTCTGAAAATATCTGCACTACAACGGTGTCTACTTTAACAATTCACTTAATGCTACATTCGTTCAAAATCATGCTTTACATGTAGTGAATAAATCAGCAACAGGGATAAATATCATCTGATTGTTTGCCAAATAAATCAAGTCGTTCCATAATGAATTTTCTTTATCATGGAATTGATTTTATTTTTTAGTATTTTATTCAAAATCTCTTGGCATAAAAGCGACCATTTAACAAAAACATTCTTAAATATGACATAAATAACATAACAATATGTGGACTATGTGTTTTGTTGCGGCTTATCGTGTAATGTCAAAGTGAGTAACGATTCTTACTCGCGCAGTCGGTGTTTTGGGAAGAAAGAGATCAGTAAGAGTGTATTTCCTTTTCCCCCCTCTCTCTCTCTTTAGTTGCATGCTCAAGTCCCATTCTCTGGTCAAGTTCAGTGCGTTGTTCTCCGGACCGGACGGACGCTTCTTATTGGTAGGTTGCGACAGTTACATCACGCCGCTGGTGACGCGCACGTCTTCCTGTTTCCTTCAGCCGCGTCTTAAAGTGAATCTTAGTGGCGGAGAAGCGCTCAGCATCCAGAGCTCTGCATCCAGTGCGCCTCGGAGACGCACACACGCAGTCTCGCTCTCTCTCTCTCTTACACTCTCTCTATGTCTCTCACTCTTGTAGTCACAGCAGAGGATAGAGGGAGAGACCTACGCGCAAGAGCTCTTTTCATCTTCTATATTTTTCCTATTTTGTTCTTTTCGCTCGCGCAGAGCTCTGACTTTATTCCAGCTCTTTCTTCTCTGAGAAATTGTTATATCCCGTCATCCAGAAAATCCTCGGTGTTCTGCGTTTATTCTCTCTTTTTTTTTTTCGCCGTAGTGTTCAGGTTGTCCCCCTCTTCATCTAAAGGGTAAGTAACCTTGTCCTCGGATACCTCCCTTTCTTGTTCTGCCTCGCTTGCACACGGTGGGCGGAAAAAAAATAAACAAATGAAACCCCATGAACGGGGAAATGTATAACGGTGATCAACAGCTAATCATATATCTATACGACTTTATTTGCTCTGTTTCGTTCCCCTCGGCGTGTGGTTAGAGTTGCGTGAGCTGCCCGTGTGTTTTAGCGAGGATGATTTGCGAACGGTAGCCCAACCTTTCCCCATGAAAGCCGAGATCAAGTTGATTTGCAACTTCTCCAAGTAAGTTTTAGAAGCGAGTGTCTCGATACGCGACTTAAAACAAGAGTTGACTTTAGACGGAAGCTGAGATTGAGTCTGTATTTGATGTTTCGTGTTGGAAACGGTGACTTTTATATTGTCTTTGTCCTCCTGTGGGGAGAATCGTATTATAAAAACCTCTTCATGCCGTTTTACCGACACAGAATTGTTTTCAAGGCTGTTACGGTGCTTGTCAGTCCTCCTGTTTTGTGAATTTGGTGTTTGTCTTCTGCTGGAACCACTTTTGGAGGATTGTGATAAAACGCTGCCGGTATATTGTTGTAAGTGAAGGCAACTCTCTTAGGTTTTGATATCTTTGTCCAATGACCATCAAATGTGGAAAGAAGCTTCAAAGTCTAACTGTTACCATTATGTATAGTACATTATGTCGTTTGACTTCTAAAAGTTGTATATTGTTTTAAATTAGACCAAGTTTTCAATCTAAATTTAACCTCACTTTTCTTTTTTAACTTGTTGTGTCTCATCAGAGAATTTTTGAAACAAAAGCCTATAGCCAGGGGTTTTTATTTTAAAGAATGATGTTCAGATGTATAAAGTTGAGGTGAACCCCTGGTTGTTCATGTGTGTAGTTCAAAGCCTGAAATTGTTTTTTTTACAAGAGAGAGGGAGTGCGCATGGGCAATGTGAGACAGGTGCTCGGTCAAAAAAGACAGGTGCTGGTGACTATTTCAAGCTCATTGTTAAGATCCTGAGGCGATCAAGTCAAGGTTTCTTTCTTGGATATGTATCACCCCTTTTCTGAACTGCTGGATATGGCTGTCAAGACTTGAGACACAGCCATTTATCAAAATGATATTGTTTTAGAACACTGATGTCACTTTAATGGGATTGATTTAAGAGGAAACATGTTTCACTATGCCTGTTTATTTGTATTAGTTTTTATCTTATCAGTTTACAAGATGTGAATTTAAAAAGGGATTTCTTTAATAGTGGAAAAACCTGCAATACATGCCACTCGTGTTGTGCATCACACTGCACAGCTTCTAACAAAGCCAGCAGCAAAGTTGTGTGTATGAATAGTGTGAATTTGGTTTTAAGGCTTTATGACAAGAAATATGATTTTCTTATTTAAAAAAACACTTTTGATGTGAAGTGAGGATGAAAAGAAGATAACATTTCTATTAGTTGGAGCAACCAAATAATCAGTTAAAGCGAATGTTTTATAATCTCAACGGAGTTCAGCTTTCCTAACCATTGAAACCGAGACTAGAATTTAGACACTCAAGATGGTTTTTGTCTGAAGAAATAATAGCAAAATTAATATATTTAAATATATCTGCCTTTTTCGTATAAAAGAAACAAATATATATATAGCTACTTGGCAGATCTTTTTTAAAGTCTGCCTAAATCGGTGTCACATTTGAGTATATTTGCAACCTTTAAAATAGACGTAAAAAAAAGCAGTTTTTTTATTACTGAGCCAGTGTGTCTTAAAAAAGGCTTTCTGAAAGAGTGTAAAAGGAAAATGGACATTGTTGCACCACTCTTGCTTTTGATTAAGAAAACATTACCCAAATTTAAAACTTACAAATTGTATTTTTAAAGAGAGGCATGCGGGTTAAATTGTCTCAAAATATATCTCTACATTTGGGATTGAATGCAGCTTCATGGCTATGACTAAGAAACTGCCACCACTGCTTACATAGCAGTATTGATGCAGGCCTGTACTGACAAAACAATTTGCTTTCAGAGGGGCATTAGGGTTTTTGTAAGAGCGCTTTAAGTTGCTCCTTGCCGGAGTTGACCCTTGCGACCTGTTCATTTGAGCAGAATTAACTGCCCTTGCCAGATGAAAAGACAAACAAAAAACACAGAAGTGAGCTCACGCTGGCAACAAAATCAATAGGCCTATTTTGTGTTTCTTTTATGTGTCACTCCCCCCCATCGCCTAAGATATGATGGCCATATTGATTAATGTGAACATAGCACTTGCAATTTAAAATTACGCAATGTGTAAACATGGTATTATTTAGTTTAGTTTAAATGACCAAACGAACATTTTCTTACGTATACTGTAATAGGATTTAGCTTTTACACAACGCTTTTTGTTTATACTCTTCACCCTAATTCTTTTATTTTATTTTTGAGTTAATAGCTCTTACAGTATGTTGGTTCACACTGCACAAAAATGGAAATGAGGACAAGTACTTAAGTAATTATCATAATTTTATGCAGCTTTGTGTTCCGTGGGAACTGGTTCAGTGTCGCGCGGCGTGTAACAGGGGACAGGATAAAATGTAGGACTTTGCCCTGGAATGTGGAGCCAAGGCCTAATTCTGCCCCCATCTTGCCTGTTCCCTTTACCCCGCTGTCACCAGTCCACACTCCCGAGATGTAATCATGGATGCGCCTGTCCTATTAGAAACAGATTAGGAGGGATAGCCTGCTGGCTTGAGACAGAACTTATGCCTCTACAGTATATCCATATTGGCCTCTGATGCCATTTTCAAGAGGTTGATGTATTTCAATTTTTTTCATTCAAACGTTCCAGCTTTTCTGTGTAATGTAGATTCAGTTTTGAAATGTATACGTGTGTTTGTACATTTACTGGCTGACTGAGTGATTAATTAATATTCCGAAAATACTCTTCACTGTGACTCACACTTTTCTGATTTATTTTGCCCACAGGTGCTCGAAGGATTTGATCCTAGAGGACTCTTTTTCGGGATATGGCCCAATAGCAGCAGCCCGTGATGCCGGACCATGACAGCGACTCCCTCCTGAACAGACAGACCAAGCGAAGACGTGTGGACATTGGTGTTAAGAGGACCGTGGGCAGCGCAGCCTCCTCCACAGCAGCAGCCACAACAACAACCACTGATAACATTGCCCGCGCCAAAGCAGCCATTTTCAGTGCCATGAACTCTCTGAGCTCCCACTCTCACCACGGATCAGACGCTGACTCCATGGAGTGCTCTGTAGTGCAGCCACATGGTGGACCTGGCGTTATGTCAGCCAGTGACAATGAGTCCAAGTCAAATGTACTCCGAAAGCTACTGAAGAGGGCCAACTCATACGAGGACACCATGATGCCCTTCCCTGGCACCACCATTATCTCCCAGCTTCTCAAGAATAACATGACTAAAAATGGAGGAGGACATGAGAGAGGAGAAAGAGGGGACAGGCGTGATAGAGGGGATGTTGGCTTCCCTGGATCAGGGCGCTCCAATGCAAGTTCAGATGCTCCCCAGGAGGATGCCTGCAGTAACTCCTCCCACGATAGCACCCCACAAGAGTGCTTGTCACCCTTCGGCCGTCCTCCTGGCCTGGCCAGCTTTGACATTGAACGTCTAAACGACGAACACCTGCGTGCCAAGCGAGCCCGTGTAGAGAACATTATACGTGGTATGAGCCACTCACCCAGTGTGGTGATACCTGCTTCTTCCCGTCATGAGCGTGACCACGAGATGGATGGAGACCGGGAGATGGATCTAGACTGCCCACCCCCTCAGTCTCAGCAGCAGACCCCCGGCAGCCCACGGGGAGGGGAGGTGTGCAGCAGTAGCAGCCGAGAGAACAAGCGCAAGCAGCGTCTGCCTCAGCAGCAGCAGCAGAGCTTCACTCAGCTGGTGTGCCAGAGGAAGGAGCAGAAGCAGGAGGAGCGGCGGCAACTGAAGCTACAGCTGGAGGACATGCAGAAACAGCTACGCCAGCTGCAGGAGAAGTTCTTTCAGATCTATGACTCAACCGATGACTCAGAACATAACGACCTCCACAATGACCTCCACAATGACATAGGAAACATGTCCGAGGACAGCCCAGGCCGGTCTGATACAGGTGGCGATGACCGGGGTGGAGATGACTTGCGCTCTGACAATGAGATGTCTGACCTGGACCCAGGCCACTTTCTGGACAGGGCACGGGCGTTGCTTCGGCAGCAGGCCATGCTGGCAGACAGAGAGAAGCCAAGAAGAGAGGGGCTCAGCCGGAGCAAAGGACAGGGAGGTCCAGGCTCCTCCATGCATGCTGAAGGTAAACAGCTAGCAGAAACACTGAAGCAGGAACTCAATTCAGCCATGACCCAGGTGGTGGACACAGTGGTCAAGGTGTTTGCCAAGCCTCCACGTCCTACACCCCAGCAGGCCTTCCCCTCACTTTCCATACCCGCTGAAAGATTTCCCACCATTGTCAATGGTGATAACCCCAATTTCCACACCGCTAACCAGAGGCTGCAGTGCTTCGGCGATGTCATCATTCCCAATCCTTTAGATTCCTTCTCCAGCATGCCTGGGATGCCATGTCCCACCATGGATCAAACCGAGGCGATACCTTTAGTCGTGAGGAAGACACCCAGTGACCACCACCATCACCACCAGTCCTCAGCTGTGGGGGCCCACGGTGGACACCACCACCCCGTCCTTCACCCCTCCTCGCTCTCTGCTTCCATGGGCTTCAGCCCCCCATCCTTTAGGCACCCATTCCCTCTGCCTCTCATGGGCTACCCCTTCCAGAGTCCTCTTGGTGGGCCCACAGGTGGCTACCCGGGCAAGGACCGTTCCTCTCCAGACTCCATGGACCTGTCCCGGGAGACCACCAGCCTCAGGACCAAGATGGCATCGGGCCACCACATGGGGCACCACCACCACCACCACCACCACCATCGTTCTCTTTCACCATCACACCCTGGCAGCACGGCAGAGGGACTCTCCCTGTCCCTCATCAAGTCTGAGTGCAGTGACCTCCAGGACATGAGTGACATCTCACCCTACTCAGGCAGCAATGTATCCTTTCAACAAAATAATTGTCGAAGAGTTTCTGTGTGAGGGTGTGTGTTTGAGGGGGTTGAATGCGTATACCTACTCTGATGTTTTAACTACAAAGTCCACTTCAGGCAGCATATGCTTCTGTAAGTCAGACAAAAATCCAATTTCAGGTGGTAATTCCCTATAGAGACAGGTGCGATACAATGCATCAAAACCACAAAGAGTTAAAAATCAAATCTTTTTAGCCTGTTTGAAACTAGCCTAAGATACTGAGAAATTGTTGATGAATCACTTTTCCTCCCACTGCTGTTCTCTTCTCCATTGTACTGCATTGTTATATTTATTTTTATACTCATACCTCTTCCTCACAGCACCATACAGCCTTTTCTTCCATCTTGAATCCAAAGTGCTTTAAAAGCTCTCTTGTCACATATCACTTACTCACGACATTGACTGCCCCAATTCCTTTTTATAAACATGTCCTGAAAAGGGAGATAGCATCCTGAAACTTGGCACACAATGGTGTTATATAGCCTCCCTTATAGTTTAACCCCAGTGTGCCCCAATCATGCCCTACGGATAAAAAGGCTATCCCCTATGGGAGTCTCAAATTGAGTCCCCCGGGGACTCAGGACTAATAGCTTAAACAGATACATTCAGTGCCTTCTCTGTTTCCCCTATACCTCCTTAGTACCTAAGTATTCAACACCCCCTAACCCTTATGAAAGTTTGATTTGTGTCACACTGCTTTCCTTAGAGAGCTTTGTCTTCGAGTCATTCACATTCATACCTTGCTAAGGAAATGAATCCAACAGCTTACCTGTTGTGTCTTTTTAAGTTCGGTGAATATTTATATATAACACTTTAGTTGCCTTGTTTTTACTTTTGTGCGTACCTGACTGCCTACCCTTTTTCTGAGTGTGTGTACATGTGTGTGTGTGTGTATGTGTGTCTTTATGTGTGTGCATGTCACAAAAGGTTCGCCTGAGGTCTCAGTAAAGATGTATATTTATGATTGCTTGTGTTTTCTCTTGTGTTCCTCTTATCATCCATCGCCGTTGTAAAAAGCCCACAATCATTGTCGTTTCTTTTCCCTTTTTTTCATTTCATAAAGATCTGTCAACAGCCCGGGGGGCCCTTCGACTGTTGCTTGGCAGCCAAATACTTCTTTTTTTTGTTTTCCCTCCCTGCAAACCCCCCTCCTCCCTGTCTTTTCTTTGAAGCGGACGTTAACAGGTGTTTGCAGCGAGCTGTTTATCTTTCATTACCTCGCCTTGTCTTGTCTTCTGACCCAAGGGTGAACGCTTTCCAGAGATCCATAATCCTTTGCTTCTACGGACTCCCGATGGAGGGATGGAAAGAGAAAAGAGACTATGAGAAAGTAAAAAAACAATCAAACAACAAACACATATGCCAGATGCTGTGGCTTTCATTGTAGCATTTATAAATTCAGGGCACTACCTGATGTAGTCCCCTAAATGAAAAAATAGGCAGTACAACATGTCGGCGTGTTTTTTGTTATTATTTTATTTTTATTTGATCACAGATTCAGGAACAAAGTTTGGCATATACAAGATATCATTTTGTTCAGTATTTTTTTTTTTAATAGTACGACTTTCTAAATCTTTACACGTGAGTTTCTTTCTATTTGTAGTATCTTATAGCTGGTTTCATGGATGTAGTATTTTTTATTTTTTATTTCGTAGCTCCTTTTTATCCCGGAGCCTCCGAAGCCAGAGACAGCTTGTCAGACATTTTGCGAGGTGTGTTCAAGTTCACCAGCTCTCGGCAGCGTTGTGGAGCAGATGGCTGCTATCAATTTCCTCATTTGTTCTCAGTCCGACTCCAAATATTCTTGTCCTTACACCTGGAATTGGGAAGTCGAGCAGCTATTTCCCTCTCATGACTTTGGGTTTTGGGGATGTGTTGTGAGAATGATGATGTCTTGTCAGATGTGGCAGGCGAACAGTGGGCCAGCTGGTATGAGTGCACCATCATGACAAAATAATAGCCTTGCACGCCACCCCTAAGTCCAATCACAATTACATTTGCAAGCTGTGAGTGAATTGGAGATGAAAATGCCTCATCAGGAGATATGAAGCTTCTTAATTGTCGTCTGAAGGGAGGTGATATTGTGTTTATGGCTGGAGAGGTAAAACCGTGACGTATTTGTTTTAAAATCATTTTTAATTTCAGTGATAAGGGGAGAGCGATGCTTATCCTAATTGAAAAAGCAAAAACAAATTAATTTAAGTGTAAGTGCAAAGCTTTCACAGCAAACAAATCCCAACCTTGCCTTACTGAGAAAGAGCTTTCTCTTTCTCTCCCTCTCTCTGTCTGAGGATCCATTGTATCCCCTCCACTTGGAGCAGATGGTGTGGTGTGGAGAGTGAAGTGCTGCTCTTTTGGCCAGGCCTGACAGAGTAACACCAGTCTGCCAGGGTTTCCCCCACAAGACCCTCGCTGCGTATACAACTAACTCTCTCACTCTCTCACTGAATCAGACAAAGTAGACAGGGTTTTTAAGGAGCCAACCCAGTGTGGTTCAGTATTTGCTGGCTTTGCTGTGTAACCCTGAGGCCAAGGGCAATCCAATCTAGCAGCTGATGCCTTCTTCCCACTCTATAGTTACAGCTACATCTGGACACTTGACTGATTTTAACGATCACAGCCACCCCTGTAGATCATAAATAATGTCAGGCAATGTATTTTGTCCAGTCGAGTGTAAACAGTCTTCATGAAAACTTGGTGCTGTATCTTCTTTGTAATTTAAAGCCCTGTCTTGCTTCTGCTTGATGAAAAACCTTGTTGAAACAGCCTGAGGTTTTAACATGCAGCCCGCCCCCTTCCCCGTTCCCTTTTCAATGTCTTATCCTCCAGATTGATATTATCAGATGCATTATACGGCCGTTAATTCACCATGGAAATGGCTTGGGCCGTTCGGTGGCGCAGATGTGTTGCAGACCCCCCCATCACTGGCTGAGCCCCTCTTCTCCTTCTCCTCCTCCTCCTCCTCCTCCTTCTTTTGCTCCTCCAAGGGTTTGGCAAAGGCAGCGAGGCTGGGGGGTAGGGGTGGAGCAGAGGGAGGAGGAGGGGGATGTAATTGAAGGTTGGAACCACACTATCCCTCAAGGTGCCCCCACCAGCCCATCTCCATCCTCTCTGGTGTTCAATCCAGGCGATCCATTAAGAAGACAAGGCCTCTGACATGTATTTGAATATGGCCTGTGAGGGTGAGAAGGTTTTCATGTTGCTTGGGCCGCTGTTCGGGACTATCTCCTAGACCTTGTTTTGTCACTGATATGAAGCCAATATCAGACAGTCATATTCAGGCTTGGCATGTGTTGTCGCCAAGCCATTAGGCCTTCTTGCCCGTCACTGGCGTTAACTGCTGTCTTTGTCTGTGATATGCAAATGTCTCCTTTTTCTTCTTCCTTTTTTTGGGTAGAGGTTAGCGCAGGGTGTAGGTAAAGGCGTTTGCTTATACTTTGACTGTGAAATGAGCCTCCTTATGTAAAAGCATCGGCTGGAGTGCTGGCCAGCATTTTATTTACCGTGACGCTATCACACCTGATACGGACGATGCTAATTGCAAGCAAATGGTTTTGCTTTAGTGCACTTTCTTCAGCCCCCCCCCCCCCTCCAGCAGCCCTGCATTCATGCCTGAAAGGAAATTTGGTTATCCATCATCCAAAGGACAATTTCTTGCCAATCTTGCAACTAATGATTACCATATACATGTTGTGTTTGTGATAATATCAGTAGCTACATTACCTTGATCTACCATAAAATGTTTCCCTTCAAACACTTGTTAATTTCCTTAATGGCAGCTATTTCTAGATCCAAGAGGGTCTCTCTCCCAATCATCTGAAGAAGGCCAAGCTCATGTTTTTCTACAGCCGCTACCCAAGCTCCAATATGCTCAAGATATTCTTCTCTGATGTCAAGGTAAGGTCAAACACGTTCTCCCTCGTTAGCCCTTTTTTAAATTAATAACATTTGCTTCTATCTTCCTTTTAAAATGTTGTAAGAATTACTATCTTTGCTTGTCTATTTTATATACTATAATTTGTACTACCTTCTTGACACAGTGACTTATTTTGCCACGTGTAGCAAGTATTAAGAGGATTTTCTTCTTTTGTCACATTTCCTACTTTAGTCAACGCACCTGCTTTAAAAGGGGATTTTACAGCTTCAGTTGCCATGAACAACGTATGCCTGTCTGTCTTGAAATGAGGCCCTTTCCCTAACTAAGTTGTGGTTTTATGCAAAAGATGAAAGAAGAGGAAGTTGAATGGGTTTACATGAGGGAGCTGGAGAGCCTATGAGTATTCTAAAGATAAAGAGCGGGATGAGTAATGGAGGGGTGGAGAGGGCAGAGAGGAGGATGGAGCCTAGAGACGGAGGAGTGGTTATCTGAGCAGGTGTAGGGAGTATGTTTTGATGGAGGGAGGGGAGAAGAGAAAGTGTCGGTTTAGGGAACATGGCAAGGATGAGCGTTGGCGCTGCTGGGAGTTTAATGAAGGAAATTTGGAAAACAAAGCACAATACAGTATGTAAGCTGCACAGAAGAACAAGAGCAACAGCACAATGGCCGTTGTACTGTAGTATGCGCGACCGAGTTTGTTCCTGTTGTTGTTGTTGTTTGTACTAAATGCGTGCCCCTTTTCTGACCATATGGAGGGGTAAACATTGTGACATATCCAGGCCATCTTATTCAAATCAGAAGATAAAGGTCCTCTTTTTTCCCAGCTGCCCTCTCATGGATGCCGTCGCCACAAACCATGACTCATGGGTCACATGGTTTTCTCCCAGCATTTCGTTGGTCTCGTTGTAAAGGAGGGTTGGCATTAGGGGCCAGCAGCTGTAAATGTTGATCTGTTACAGAACTAATGTATTAAAGCATACCACTGATTTCACATTGGTGTTGAATTACAACAATTGCTATTTCAGATTTGAACCACTTTTTCACTCACGAATCACTCGCAGGGATGGGGCCCCTTCTTGGTGGCCACATTAGATACTTTAACAAGGTCAAGATAGTTAAGGGGATTATGAGTCCCCTCATATTGTTTTCAGTCAGGGACAATGGACTCAAGTTAGTAGACATGTATGGGAATGAGACTGAATATCTAATTAGATGCAGCCAGCGCGGCCTCTTAGCAATTGGCTGTCCTCAGACAAAAGTCTTAAAGGCTAATCATGTCTCGACTGTCAAGGATCTAATGAACTGGGAAGTGGGTTGACCCAATAACTGGGGGATGCTGTAGCTGTTGTTTCCTTTGATTAAGCTCCTTTTAAGACTATTGTGACTTTTCTGACTTTTGGTTTTTATGAAATATTTTGACAGACGTCTCAATATGCCATTGTTGATGTTGTGATTAAAGATGAGTAATTATCACAGATTAATGCACAGATTAAATAAAGATGTTCAGTCAATTAAAAAAAGTCAGCAAAAGTTAGTGCCTTTGTAAGGGGATTCAGTGTGTGTGTTGTATATTAATTAGAGGGTGTTTGGACCTTCATCTTATAAAGATTTCCAATTCAAATTGGAACACTGGTTGAAACTCACACACTCTTTGCTTTCTTTATGTATCTGTCTGTGGCTTTTTGAGCGACAAGCTTCAGTATTTGGGCCAGTCATGTGCTGTGGAGTAGAGGAGGTCAGTAGGGTTTTCCCTTTTCTATATGTCATTCCTTCTCTTTTCTTTTTTTTCGCTGATGGTGTGGCATGGTGTGTGTGCCTCGGCGGGGCCGGGGAGAAAGAAAAGCCAGCCGCTGGATTTGAGTCGCCGCAGTAACAAAAGCCCGCTTTCCAGGGCCGCTTTTTGTGTGCAGTCAGCCAATAGGCAGCCAGAGATTATCTCCCACAATTCACCCCTGCGAAAACAGGAAACGTTGGAAAGCCCTGATGACTGTGAAGGGGCTTACGAGAGAGAGAGAGAGTGAGGGAGAAAGAGAGTGAGAGGGAGGCCCGTGCAGGCTTCTCTGTCTTTCTGCTCTCCTCTCCGGTTGTTCTGGATGTAGCTTAGCACTCTGAGGTCATCCGTGTGCTTTCTGCTCCACTGCTGACCACTGTGTCAGAGAAAGTGTTGGCGAGCGACACTTTGACATGTCATCCAAATGTTTCTTAACTAAAAAATGTTATCCTAAATTTAAACACAAAACCGTTTAACCAAATTTCATTCAACATATTTAAAACTGAGCCGATGTGTGTGCAGAAGTTTGGAACCGACGGTTAGCTCCTGATTACTTTTGTCAGGCGACTAATATAGTTTAGTCCAAGGATACTTGAGTGTTTTCCTATTCTGGACTTAAGTATGCGCCTGTGCACGAGCAGAACATATGTGTGTGTGAGTGTGAGTGTGTGCACCACTTTCTATCTTGTGCTGTTAGCACTAAGCGCTGACCTTTCACAGGCTCTTGAGTGTGAGTGTGAGAAACACGCTCTTGCTGTCTCTCTCTCATCTGCCTCTCAGCCAGCCACACACACACACACACACACACACACACACACACACACACACACACACACACACACACACCCTTATAAACACTTATATGCTCAGACACACATTTTTCTCGCTGCATCTCATGTCTGTGCAAGCTGACCCCTGCCAGTTCTGATTAAGGAGCTGCAGTGATGTGCTCCTTTGAACCAGTTCCCTCCTTGTACGCTGAACACACTCGTCTTTAACAGCTATCAGGGGGTCTCTCTCTCCCACCAGCAACTTAATGAACCCTGACTGCTGGAAGCTGCATGGGGGACTTGCCAAAATTAATTCAGTAAGTGTGTTGGTTGCAGCTGATGCAGATATAATGTAAGCTAGTATTTACCTGCAAGCAGAGTAGATATTGTGTCTTTTATGAGCTCTTTGCTTTGATTGAGCCACAGTTCACTTCAGTTGCACGGACCCTAATACATCTTCTCCGGAGCTGTCCGTATAATAAAGTAATCCTTGTCCAAATGACAAATCTATCCGTCACTCGGCTGCGGTGACACCAAAGGTCTCCTGCATGAGCGATGGCAACTCTTTCACTGACTTTAATCTCAGTATGTAGGCCTAGTGCTCAATCTTGCACGCGCTCAGTTGCATGTACACACACATGCTTGCGTATATGGATGCCAATTCACTAAATGTGGGATTCCCCCCACCAAGACTTGATCTGGTCTTTTACACAAGGAAAGGTTTATATCAAAGTGACAACTTCAATGCAATAGTGTGTTTGTGCTCTCACACTCCGACTGTCTGCCACATTGTGTGTTTTTAAGAATAGCCCTGTGCAGCCTCTGTATTTGTAAGTGTCAGTAGTTTGTTTGTTTGACACTGCGATGTCACGACCCCAGCTTGCTGACTGCTCACGTTCCGACCCTCCGCCTCCCCCCCCCCCCCCACCAGCAGAACGCCATTGTCCGACGGCGCTGACCTGCACCCGTCCTCCTCTCCTCCCTCCCTCACTCACTCATTTCCCCATTTATGCTCACCCTGCACTTTAGGACAGCCACCGTACCCCTCCTCTCCCCCCCGACGTACAGCCTCCCAAAACCCCTGCCAAACAATGTCAAGCGGACTTATTCTTTTCCACTCCGGCCTTTATGTCATCTGCTGATCATTCCAGAAAAGCACGGCCCCTCTCCTTTTAGCCCCGTCCCACCTTTTGCCAATTCTCTCGCGGCTCCTAATTCCCCAACTTTCCTGCCTCTCTGTCCTGCTGCCTCCCATCTTCAGCTGCTTGCGTGTGTTTGACTGCCATGCAAGATTGCGAGTAAGAGAGAGTGTGTGCGTACGTGTTTGTGTGTGTGTCTGTGTGTTGTGGAACAATAGCCAGAGCCTAATCTCCATGTCAAAACCGCTCTGCCTCCCCAGCGAGCCGTCCGCTCAGCGTTTAGTAGCGTTTTGTCCCCCCATTCTTCCAGCACCACAAAAAGAGCGGAGGGGAGGGAGGAGTGAAGGCCTGTGGTGTGTGTTTGTGTGTGTTTGTGTGTGTGTGTGTGTGTGTGTGTGTGTGTGTGTGTGTGTGTGTGTGTGTGTGTGTGTGTGTGTGTGTGTGTGTGTGTGTGTGTGTGTGTGTGTGTGTGTGTGTGTGTGTGTGTGTGTGTGTGTGTGTGTGTGTGTGTGTGTGTTGTGTGTGTGTGTGTGTGTGTGTGTGTGTGTGTGTGTGTGTGTGTGTGTGTGTGTGGACCGAGGGTGTGGGTGATGGTTAGGGATATCAAGCTTTCACAGGCGAGATTTTTGAATGTACGAGGCGTCCTTTCTGGAAATCAGTGAAGAAAGACATAATGATGTTATTTGTATGTTTTTAGGGGTTTGATCAGAGCTTTCAGTGGGGCATTTTAGGGTGAATGAGCTCCGCTGCTCTCCTGAACTCCTGAGCTCCTTAGTGTTTGGGGTGTTTAGACAGTGTGTTTTCACTGCTGAGACCAGGCGGAAAAAGAGCCGGGGACCAGCGGAGGCTCTTAATAGGTTTACCTCGCCCTATTGAATCCAGCAGAGCGGCACAGACCAGATAGCCACAGCCATCTCTGTCTTTCCCTCTCTTTCTTTTTCTTGTGCTCTTTTTCTTCTCCTGTCTTCCTGCCTGAGAGGTGTGGAGAGGGGAGGAGAATCAGGGTGTAATTGGTGAACGGGGTTAAGTACATGTTTGAGCCCCCTGCGGGCCAGGGCGCTTCAGATGATGACTTAATCGTTTTTCTGGTCAATTATGTGTTTGCGGTCTCGCCCTGCCCCCCCCCCCCCCCCACCCCCCACCTCTCTTTCCACTCTCAGGGTTATGATAGGGGGAGGTCTGCTCCCAGTGGGGAGGATGAACCACACACACTCTCACACACTCCCCCCTCCTCCTCCTTGCTAGCTGTCTTACTTAATGTCTCTATTATCTTCCCTCGATCCACGACCTGTGATCTTCCTTGCTTTCGTCTATTATCTCCCTCTCTCACGGTTTATTTTAAGTTAACACCTCACGTCTCGACTCCCTGATGTGAAATGACACGCTGTCACCCTTACACTCCTTCTCAAATCCAATGGCTTAATAAGGTTGACATGATAGTCTCTCCCCTACACTGCTTGCATTAACAACATGTACAGATCTCTTCTCAACTTTTCAGCAATACTGACTTCTCTTCTCTCGTTACAGTTCAACCGCTGCATCACGTCTCAGCTGATCAAGTGGTTCAGTAACTTCAGGGAGTTCTACTACATCCAGATGGAGAAGTTTGCCCGCCAGTCCATCAACGATGGAGTAACCGGAACTGAGGAGTTGGGCGTCAGCCGCGACAACGAACTCTTCCGAGCCCTCAACATGCACTACAACAAGGCCAACGACTTTGAGGTACGCACCACCGCTTTCAGCAGATCATGCAGAAACAGAATTGTTGTATGAGAGAGGAGGAGCTGAGGTAATGAGGTCCACATCAGAAAACCTGACACCTCATGGATGCAGACGGGCAGGGTGATACTGTCTCTCTGTGTCCTCTCTGACACAACCTTGCTGTCACTATTCTCAATGCTGCATTTAAGCCTTTTATACTTCCTGATACACACTTCACTATCATGTATCTCCTTGTTGTCAGGTCCAAAACTATTCTAGAACATCTTATTACCAGCTTTTAACTTAATCTTTAATAAACGTCTGTTGGGTTTTCACTTGACAGCAGTACAAATATTTCATTTTTTTCTAAAGCGTGCATCACAGATATAATCCATACAACTATGTGAGGAACTCTCATCCAATGAGGAAGAAAGCTTACCAACACCTCGCTTGTTTGACCTCTTCCTCACTGTTCATTTCCCCTCAGTGTTCCTTGTGTGTGTGTGGTGTGTTTTTGAGAAATCGCATTGTACTTCCCCATCCTCATTTACCTATCTGTGGTGAGATGTTTATGTGTGTGTCTTCCAGTGTATTGTGATCATAAATTCTCAGCAGGCAACTTCACCTTTAATATGTTTCATTTTTCACACTTCCCCTTTGCCACGGTGTGTGTGTGTGTGTGTGTGTGTGTGTGTGTGTGTGTGTGTGTGTGTGTGTGTGTGTGTGTGTGTGTGTGTGTGGTGTGTGTGTGTGTGTGTGTGTGTGTGTGTGTGTGTGTGTGTGTGTGTGTGTGTGTGTGTGTGTGTGTGTGTGTGTGTGTGTGTGTGTGTTAGAGAGATCGAGTCCATGTGTGTAAGTGTTTTGTTGTTGCTGCATTTCCCAGTGTCCTGTTCACCTCGAAGGGTACAGCCGTCCCTTGGACCGGCCTGGCATGCTGGCAAAGCACTTCTCCGGTGTGTGTGTGTGTGTGTGTGTGTGTGTGTGTGTGTGTGTGTGTGTGTGTGTGTGTGTGTGTGTGTGTGTGTGTGTGTGTGTGTGTGTGTGTGTGTGTGTGTGTGTGTGTGTGTGTGTGTGTGTGTCACTTTGAGGGGGGGAAATCTCACTGTTATCAAGGTTAAGCGTCCTACTGTTTTAGTGAGAGGAAGGGGAGAGAAAGAGGGGGAGAGGGGGAAGAGGGAGATGGATAGATAGGGGATAGAGGGTGAGAGCTCGGAGACAAAGGAGAAAGCGATGAAGGGAGGGAGAAATGGAATCGAGGGGAATGGGAAGGGGAGAAAGAAGGGTAGAAGGAGAGAGGGGGGAAAAGAGAGATGACGTGCAGGAGAGAAGTGCCCTTGCGAGCAGTGGGAGTTTTGCAGCGCTCACATTTAAAGTGCTTCACTCTCTTTCTCTCTGTTTACGTCTATCTCTCTCTGTCCGTTATTTGTCCACTGGGGCTCCTCTGTGTGCACCCAAACACACACACACACACACACACACACACACACACACACACATACACACACTCCCCACATCCATCTTCAGCCCTCTTAAGGGAGGCTTTGAAAGACTCTGGCAAGCAGAGGCACTTGTACACATGAGGTCTCAATAACCCCAAAGTCCATCAGAGCAAAGCACAAAGAAAAATGACACAATTGTTTCTGCTGAGCTGCTTGTGGCTGCTCATGAATGAATTATTTGTTTTAGTGACAGGGAAATATGTTTAAATCAATAAGAAAGTGACCCATCACCTACCCCTATATTTGGCCTACACTATTTTAGTGAAGTGCTGCAAAATTCTGATTTGAACACCAACAAAGATTGAAGCAAAGCACACTAAGAAACCCACCGTAAAGAGTTAACAGTTCTAATCAATTAGGTGTTATACTTCCTTATGCTTATATCAAGGTGAATTATTCTCTAGACTATTGTTTCTGTCTTCATATCAAATGATGCTCTTCTTATTGTTAATCAGCTGACACAACAGGAAATGGAGGTCATTAATATCGCGAAAACATGCAGCCTCACAAACCGGATTCCTGTCCTTGATGTTGGTGTTGTTTGACAGAAGAGAAGTTATCGACGTGTTTTAAGACATAGGTACTTACCTTTTTTATGCACAAAAAAGTTCAAATACCTTCATCTCATTAAATAAAAGTAAAATCTTCTTCAAACCGTAACCCAGAATCTATAAATATGCCCCAAAAATATATAATTATTGCTAGACACGTGATTAATCTTGCTTTATTAAAACGTCCATCAGTGTATGTATAGTAAAGACTTCAAGTTCCCACATCACAGTTATATTTAAGTTACATTTTGGACAACAATTGGCTTAAAGACTAGTTGTAGTGGTGTTACTAAATCGAGTGTGTGCGTACACGTGCAACACCGGCAGAAAAACATTCAAACTTCAGCGAAACATTTTGTTTGTCTTTTATATTTTACTTTGTGTCTTAAAAGTAAGTCATAATTAAATGAAGGGTTGTATCGCAGATCAGTTGGGCCAAAAGATTATTGGACGTTTTTGCCGTTAATCCCATTCACAGGAAACCACATTGGCAGAACACCCTCTAGGAAGACAGCGTGCAACTCCCCAAAAAACACGTTTGAGCGGCAGGAAAATTGCCGTACCTGCCCGACAAAAACCTCCTCTTTCTAAAGCACAAATTCCCCGTCACATCTCAGACAAAACTATCATTCTTCTCCTGGCACCAGGAAGCTACTGTTGAAACAGGCTTAAGGGGAACAGCCATTTGCATACATAAATGTGAAAATTTGCAAGAAGACAGGCAGAGGAAAAGAGTGAGAGAGGCCAGGTGAATAAGTCTTCTGTTGGCCGAGGAGCTGCAGCGGTGGAGCAGGGAGGGAAGGTGTTTTGCATATTAAGGTATTTTTTTTGCTGGGCAGGTGTCTGAGAGATACAGGAGCTGATTAGAGTTCAGCACAAGGAAAATTTGCCCAGCCATGCAAATTCTAACCCCCCTGACAAACCAACCGCCTTGTGAGCACGAAGACTCTGCGTGTTAAGTGTTTGTGTGTGGCTTTCTGGTGTGTGTGTCTGTGTGTGTGTTATTTGTGTGTGTGTGTGTGTGTGTGTGTGTGTGTGTGTGTGTGTGTGTGTGTGTGTGTGTGTGTGTGTGTGTGTGTGTGTGTGTGTGTGTGTGTGTGTGTGTGTGTGTGTGTGTGTGTGTGTGTGTGTGTGTGTGTGTGTGTGTGAGCGACCATGTGTTTGTGAGAGCGGGTGCGTGGGTTGTGTGTTTGTTTGATGTTGGTGTTGGAATGGTGTATTTGTGTGTCTCATGTATGTGCGCGGACACATTTGTTATGTTTTTCCATGTATGTGTAAGTGTGTGTGTGAGTCATAGAGGTAATGTGTGGAAATGTACTGGATGTGTATCAGGATGCCCCCAAGGCCCTTCTCTGTGGATCTCTCCCCTTTCTCCTCCACCTCCTCCTCCTCTTCCTCCCCTACCTGCCTGCACCACCACTTGAAACAGGAGCCTACGCAGATTCAGCAAGCACACTCACACACACACACACACACACATACACACACACACACACAGTTTTTCCTTTGCCAGATTCTGCATCATCAAAGTTCCATCCACCTTGGTGGCGTCTTTGGAATGAATATGTCCTCTGTTTCCGTGATCACACACACATAGACACACACACACACACACACACACACACACACACACACACACACACACACACACACGTCTGTGGCCTTTCTTGTTTGATGCTAATCTGCTCTGTCACTGTGCTGGCCTAATACGCTCCCCATCTCCCTCCCAGCTCCTCTTTTGTCGCGATTGTTTCCCTTTTTCCTTTCATATCCCTCCTCCCTCAATCCCTCTCGTCGTTCTCTCTTCCTTCTGTTGCCTCTCTCCTTTCATTCTTTCATCCTCCTCTTTTGCATGTCTTCCGTTATCCCCCCTCCTCCTCTCCCTCGCTTTTTTCCCCCCATTAGGAAGTTTTAATGGCATAATTGTCACATTCCTTCTGGCACAATGAACACCAGCGGTAATTAAAGAGCTTGCCGTTAATTACCTAGACCCCGGTTCTACTTTCCTCTTTTCTCAGCCCCCCTCCTGATCCCCTCTCTTCTTCTCTTTCTTCTCCGCTTCTCACTCGCTCTGTCCATCGCCATCAAAGTCTTCCGAAACGCACCCGGCCTCCCAAAGCCTTGACTTTGAGCGAGCAGAGCTTTCATGTGAGGACTCAAGTGAAAATTCTCGCTTAGTGTCCTTTTCTTTTTTACTCGCCAGCCCCCTCTGTCTTTCTTTGAACCCCCAATGACAACACACACCATCTTTCATAAGACAGGAATGTGTGTGTGACCTGGTAATGGGCTGGAGAGAGGCAGAGAGGTGGGGTCTGATAGAGAGGCAGTTTTATGATGGCTCTGGGAAACTCTCAGATTTCCATAAGACAGACTAGGCCAAGTTTCCTCTGTCAGTGACCACTCCTCCCACAGAGGACACACACACACATGCATACACTCATACATACACACACCTCGGCATTTAAAAGAGGAAGTCCCTATGATCTCTATGTGAGAGGGAGGTACTGCAAATACACACACACACGCGGGTATCGTGTGTCCTCCCTTATCAGCTGCTCTTTCTCCTATTGGAAAGATGTCTCAATCCTTTTGTCCCATTTCCTCTTTTGTCTGTCCATCCGTCTGTCATCCTCTATTTGAATTGATAACGCCCTTCTATATACACACACTTATCCACAGATTATTTTTACTTCCAAAGTGAAAATAAAGACAAAAACTTTATACGGTTTGTTACTTTTCCTTCCGTTTCCTCCCCCACCCTCCGTCTTTTCCTACTATCATCTTCCCTCTTTTTCTCCCATCCTCTCCTCCCTCTCTCTCCCACCTTCATGTGTCTCTCCAGCTCTCCATCCATTACCAGAGCCACAGAGAGCTGAGAGCAGATGCTGTCTGTCCAACCGCCGTGCCCCATAGCATTGTGTGCTTCACCTCTCCTTCCCCCCTCACTCCCTCGTTCCTCCTCTTCACGTCC